GGCCGCACAAGCGTCGCAGGGTGGCCTCGTCGTCCCGCCCCCGCCGGCGCTCCTCCAGAGCACCCCGCTGCGCGCATCCTCGCCTCGCTCCTCGATCCTCCTCGGCCCTCCTCGGCCCTCCTCGATCCTCCCTGATGCTCTAAGCTCCCGAGCGATCCTCGCCTCGCTCCGCGGTCCTCCTCGGTGCTCCTCGATGCCCGAAGCTCCGCCTCGATCCTCGACCCTCCTCGGGCCGTCCTCCCGCTCCGCGGTGCGCGACGCGCGGTCATCCTCGCGCCATCGGGGTGCCGCCCTGGAACGGGGCAGCTCGGCGGCCCCAGGCGCGACGCGCAGACGCGCAGGCGTCTTCGGGCCCCTGGGAGCAACCCGAGCCCCTGCTCAAAGCCTCCACGCTGCTCCCACTAGCCATCCCCGTCGGGTGTGCCTTTCATCGCCAAACTCTTCCCTGTGATCCTCACCCTCCTCGCCCTTGCACTCTCTTTAGTATGTTCTCTTGGTGTTTGTTTATTGTGGTGTTCTCTCTCTCTCTCTCCCTCTTTCGTGTTTTTTTTCTCTCTCTCTCTCTCTCTCTCTCTGGGCGAACGATGCTACTCGCATTAGTTTTTGTTCCCACTGCCTCACCCTCCTCATCGTTATTACCCCCCCGGCCCGTCTTCCGCCCGCCTCCCTCCATCCGCCTGCCTTGTACCAGCAACAGTGCCCCTGCTTCACGACCAAGAATTTACGCAGGCCAGACTTGGCGTGTTGCGTGCGACCTCCTCACATCTTATTTTCACGAAGCAGCGTTCTCCAACAACTTCACAAACCTATGTCGGGTGGTTTGCAAAATGCGGCTCTCGTCACAGTCTCGCGCGAAGTCGCAGTAACAGTTTGCAGCAGCGTCCAAGATACAGGGCGGGTAGTTGAAATATGCGGTTCTTGCCGTAACGCCACGCATATTCGCCTTGAAGGTTTGCAGCAGCTGCAAGGATGGAGGCTGGTCCCTTTCCAACATGCAGCTGTCGCCTTGACGACGCGCACACTCGTGTGAAGAGCTATCAAGAGCTAGGATCGAGATAGGCGCCTTCGTAAAATAGGATGATCGTTATAGATCCCATCAACGCTGATGCCCAGGAGCTTGAACCTATGTAGCACCTGCGCGGAGTTGGAGCGACTCTTCTTTCCTCATCGGGACATCGCATTGTGCAGCTGCTTCACGGGTGGACGGTGGTTCCTGCTCAACAGAGAACTATGGGTGAGCACACGGCTGAACTGTATGGCCCTACGCCTGCTCGCATCCCTCACCAGCCGCTGCAAGGATAAAGGGCAGATCCTTTCCATCACGGGGCTCTCGCCTGAATGGCGGCCGCGCTGGGTGCCTGCTTCTGTTCGGTGGGGGGCTCGGAGAAACCTCTGAAGAGGGCGTTTGGGACGTGACAATACGCAGCACCGTTACGCGTCCTGATGTACTCTGGTCCTCCTCCTCCTCCTCCTCCTCCTCCTCCGCCGCCTCTTCCTCCGCCTCCTCCTCCCCATCTTCCGTCACCCCTCCCGCCTCCTCGTCCACCCTGCTCGTCCTCCCTCCCTCCCTCCCTCCCGCACCCACTTCGTCGTCCTGCTCCTCCTCCTCCTCCTCCTCCTCCTCCTCCTTCTCCTCCTCCTCCTCCTCCTCCTCCTCTCCCCTCTCTCCTTATCATCATCATCATCATCATCATCTCATCATCTATCGCATCATCAATCATCAATCTATCATCAATCATCATCATCTTGGATCATCATCACCAGCATCATCAATCGCTCATCACCGTGCGCTCATACATCATCATCATCAGCATCAAGATCATTGCAAGGGCAGAATCAAACCCTCCTCCACCCACTTCACTCGTCCGTCCCTTCGCGGGGTGGACCGAAACCAGCTCCTTCGCTCACAAGGTCCCTCCCTAGTACTCCTCCTCCTCCTCCTCCTTCCGTACTTCTTATTCCTCCCTTCTTCTTCTTCCTCCTCCTATCCCTCTCTCTCCTCCTCTTTCCCCTCCTCCTCTTCCTCATCCTCCTCCTCCTTTTTCCCCTCCTCCTCCTCCTCCTCCTCCTTCTCGTCCTCCTCCTCCTCCTCCTGCTACTGCTCCTCCTCCTCCTCCCTCTCCTCCTCCTCTTCCTCGTCCTCCCCCTGCTCCTCCTTTGCCCCCATCCCACTCCTCTCTCCTCCTTTCCCCTGGCGCGCGTGATTAAAAACAAAAAGTATCGCGCCCCGCGAGGTCTAGTCATCAGCCCCAGGATGGGTGCGGGGGGGTGGCATTTGTCAATCACAAGCTGACATTAGGACCCTGAAATTTTTTAAAAAACGACAACACTTTCACAGATGGAGGGCGGGTCGTTTTCAAAATGTGGCTCTCGCCTTAGCTCCGCGCACATTCGTTTTGACAAGTTGCAAGATTTACACGGATTGAAGGCGGGTCATTTTTCACAATGTGTCTCTCGCTTTAGCGCCGCGAGCATCCGTTCAAAAAAATGCAAGCGCTTCACGGATTGAAGACGGGTCGTTTTCACAATGCGGCTCTCGCCTGAGCGCCGCGCACATTCGCTCTAACAAATTGCAAGAGCTTCATGGATTGAGGGCGGCTCCTTTTCAAAATGTGGCTCTCGCCTTAGCGACGCGAACAATCGTTAACAGTTGCAAGGATTTAACGGGCTCCCATGATCAACGTACCAGAAATAATAGCGCGTTGGAAGGATTCTGGGTCATGAGGGTGCGTTCACGGTGTTGAAGTCCCAAGACTGGCGTTCCGGCGCGAAGCAAGGCCGTCAAGACGCAACCGTCAGGTTGATCCGCGGCATTGGAATCCCGCGAGTAATGTTTTGCCATGCTTCAGGGTCTTCAAACGGTTGTCTTCCAAAGAGGCAGTTCCCTCAGTGGGAATGAACCGTGGTAGGGTCCTGTAAAGAGAGAGTTTGGAGGGACGGTTTATTCCAACATCCAGCATCATTGATGATTGATTATTGGGTTTACGCTGATCTTTCTCCTCCTCCTCCTCCTCCTCCTCCTCCTCCTCCTCTTCCTCCTCTTCCTCCTCCTCCTCCTCGTCCTGCTCCTCCCCCTCCTCCTCCTCCTCCTCCTCCTCCTCCTCCTCCTCCTCCACCTCCTCCTCCTCCACATTTTCTCCCCTTCCTCCCCCTCCCCTCCTCCTCCTCCTCCTCCTCCTCCTCCTCCTGCCTCCTCCTTCTCCTCCTCCTCGTCTCCTTCTCCTCCTCCTCTCCTCCTCCTCCTCCTCCTCCTCCTGCTCCTCCTCCTCCTCCTCCTCCTCCTCCTCCTCCTCCTCCTCCTCCTCCTCCTCCTCCTCCTCCTCCATCCCATCCGTCACCTTTTCCGGAACCCGCCTGGAGGATCCGACCGAGGTCCTCTTTCCCTCGGAACCTCCCAGGGCCTGGCGGAACGAGGCGCTCCTGAAATCCACTGGGCCCGCTGGGCCCTCGCGGGCTCTCCTGGGAGCTCCTGGGACCCCCCCGGCGGTCTCTCCCAGAGCCCCTTTCCTGCGGCCTCCCCAGCCTGCTCCTTGGCATCCTTGGCCCTCCTTGGCCTCCTCGGCCCTCCTCGGCCTCCCTGGCCCTCCGGGGATTATCCGAGGCAGCCGTGGCCCTCCCGCGGCCTCCCGTGGCCCTCCCGGGCCTGCCCCGCGGCCTCCCTCGCCGCCCCCGCCCTAGTGCGGAGCCCGCGCGGCCAAGCCGCCGCGCTGCGCGGCCGGGGTCGCCAGGGCCAAGCCGCGCAGGCATGCCTGCTACGACTCGGCGTCGGGCGCCAGGGCGTTGCTGACCATCTCCTGGCGCGGGAGGGGGCGCGAAGGGGAGGGGGGGGGGGGGGCGGAGAGGAGGAGGAAGGGGGAGGAGAAACGGGGAGGAGTGAGGGGGAGGAAAAGGGGGGGCAAGGAGGGCGCGGACGAGAACGAGGAGGGTGCATGGCGGGGAAGGAGTGGGAGGAGAGGGTGAAGGGGGGAGCGGGAAGAAGAGAGGGGGAAGGGAGGGGAAAGAGGATTATGGAATGCAAGGGGGATGACCGGTGGGGGGGGGCACGGGGAGGAGAAAGGACCGAGAAAACGGATGAGCGAAGGGGGTGGGGTATCGGGATGACGGAGGACGGCCGATATGAGATGGAATAAGACCAGTGACGAGGTCACTGATCAAACGAAATACATATCCCCAGATCTCCACAGCGAACGCGAGAACCTGGAAGAACACCACGGACACGTGGAAGTAGTGGAGGACGAGGGAAGACCCGACCGCACAGTGCACGATGAGGGGCGCGACGGTGAGCAACCACATCCTGTTCAGCGATCGCTGCTGCTTGCGTCGCTCGTCAGTTGATGGCGTTCCGCCTGGGAGTATACTCCTGGCAATGGCCGTCCCTGGAGCAGGAGAGGTCGCGGCCCTGAAAGCCACGAACAACCACATACCAGTGCCCTCTTCCTCCTCGGCCGCGCGCAGTGTCAAGATGGCCGCCCTGCACGCTCCACACCACCTCCTGCGCCGCCGCCTTATCCTCGCGCGCGATGTCGGCACGCTCCGCAGCAGGCGCGGCACAAGCCGTGGTGGCCTCCGTCTGTATCGCTGCAGACGCCGCAATCGCCGCACGGAGGGCACGGACCATGTCCACGACGTGCTGACCTCGCACTCCTGCGCGTCCGCGGGGGGAGCTGCACCGCCGCCGCCGCACCCCCCCCCCGTCGCAGCCGTGGCCGTGGTCCGGGGCGGGCGGGTCTGTGCCAGGGAAGTGCCCCTTATGAGTCCCCAGTGTCCCCCTGCCTTACCGCCTCCACGCCGCGGAAGGAGTTGGCGGCGCGCGCGGGGGGGGGGGCAGGGGGGGGGGGGGGGGGAGGCTTCCTGGGAGGAGGAGGCTGGCTCTCAGAGGGCGCGGGCCTCTGTGCGTCTGCAGACGCGGCCCGCACCTCCTGAGAAGCAGGGGCGCTTCTGAGAGGCGCCCCCCCCCCTCTCCCCTCACACCCCCCCTCTGCGCGCGGCCCAAGGAGGCGGCGAGGGGCCGCTCGCCGTCTCCACCGCCACCGCCCGGCGGGGCATCCGCGGGCGCAGCGCTCTGCACCCGCAGCCGCGGGCCTTCCGCCAGGGGCCGCCGGCGGGAGCCTCGCGGAGCTGCCGGCCCCGGGGGCCCGCGCGGTCGCCGCGGGCTTTGGGCAGCTGGCGCCACGCGGCCCCGCGGCCGCGCACGCACGGCGCGCGGCGGCCGTCCGATGCGGCCGGCGGGCGCGCCGCGGCCGGGGAACTGGATCTAGGTCGGGCCTGTCCCCCTACAGGGGGCTTCTGGGCGAGAGCTTAAAGATGCTCAAAACAGTCAACAAACAGTCTGGGGACGATGTCTTGAGCTTGGGATTTGTGTTGAGTATGTTTCATTTCTCGCCCAAAAATCCCCCTGGAGAGGGACAGGCCCGACTCAAAGCTGGATCCGTCGCTGCCCTGAGAGAGCGGGGCGGAGCGCGGCGCGGGAGAGGGAAGGGGCCGCGGTGGCCGCGGGCGGCGCGCGAGAGCCGACGGCGCGGGCTCGGCAGCCCCGAATCGGGCCGAGCTGGCAGCTGCGGAAGAGAGGAGGGCTGAATCGGAAGGGGCCCTGGGACACACAAAGTAATACACACAGATAACGCCGGAGTGGGCCTCGGAGTAAGCCGGATTAAGCGGGATTAAGCTGGATTATGCGGGATTCACCGGGGAGGGATGAATCTGAAGGGGCCCTGGGACACACAAATAAATACACACAAATAACAGGATTCCCCATATGTTCCCATATTTTCTGGGTCTTTATCTCCCCCCCCCTTCCCATATTTTCCCATATTTTCCGGGGAATCGACGATTAATTGTGTCTGTGAGTTTTTCTCTCTCCTGAGAATCGGAGGCGAGGAGGATAGCCCCCATGGAGGGGGCGATCGACCAAGGAACAGAGCAGGAGAGGGATCGAGCACGCTTGTTCTGGGCAGTGTTTGCTGAGCACGACGTGCGCAAAGAGAGAGAGAGAGAGAGGAGAGAGAGGAGAGAGAAAGAGAGAGAGAGAGGGGAGAGAGGGGAGAGAGAAAGAGAGAGGAGATGAGAGGAGAGAGAGAGAGAGAGAGGAGAGGAGAGAGGGAGAGAGAGAGAGAGAGAGAGGAAGGAAAACAAAGGCAACCGAACCTCCCGCCACTCGATGCAAACACGGCATAGCATAAACTCTTGGCGCTCCGCGCGGAGTTCTTGGTTCTGCGCCGGACCCCCCCTCCCTGGCGCGCGGAGCGCGCCAGTGGCGGCGCCAGAGGCGCCGCCAGGGGGGCCCCAGCGTGGAGCCAAGAAATCCGCGCGAAGCGCCAAAAGTTTATACGTATGCCCCGCATTCACAGCTTCGATACACGGCCAATCGTCTTCGAACAAGTCCTCCCTCCACTGCCCTCCACTGCCCTCTCAGCAGGGGGGCCCATCGCGGAGCCAAGAAATCCTCGCAGAGCGCCAACAGTTTTATGTTTCTCGCGTTTTGTCTTCTCCGAAGGAAGGAAAACAAAACAACAAAACGACCAAACCTCCTGATATGTCGGGCATGTCCCCCTACAGGGGGTTCTGGGCGAAACATCGAAAAAATGCAAAAACAATACTCCAAAAATCGTCCCCAGACTATTCTTGGTTTTCTGGATATTCCCCCTGTAGAGGGACAAGCCCGAGTTGAACCTCCCGCCACACCGAGCGCCTGCTTCACAGAGCAGGCGCGTCCATCTCCTCCAGCCCCATCCAGACCAAAGGGCGTGGACAAGGAGAAGGCGGTGTCTGCCGCCGCAGGGCCGCCTCGAGGCCCACCCTGGTCTTAGGTCGGGCATGTCCAGAAACAAAACAAAAATATCAAAACCAAATCCAGGCGGATTTTGGACGAAGAATAAAACATACCCCACACATGCTCGAACAAGTCAAGACAGAATAGACAAATCGTCCCCATACTATTTTTGTTGCTACTTTTGAATTTTCCTCCTGTAGAAGGACGTGCCCGACCTAAAGTCCGAACTGCAGCTCTCACCCTCCGTGTCGGGAGGATGCGCGACCTGAGCCTCCCGACGCAACACCAGGGCAACAACCCAAACCACAGACTCCTCACATGTGGGCTGTGAAAGAGCCGTCGTTGACGGCGCCAAACGAGGCGAAGCCTGGGGACTCGCACGCTGCTGATGGGCCGCTCGGGAGGTTGAAGCATCGACGACACGAGCGTGCCAAAAATCATGCGCAGCTCTGGGAGGCCCCGCGCAACTAGGAGGACACACCCTTGCGAACTCTAGCAACAGGTTCGAAGCCCCTTTCGGGCGGCTGTTTTGCACTCGCTGGCAAACTGACGGCCGTCAACAGCCGCGGTGCGTTCGCACATACAGTAGGGGCTCGACCACAAGAAACCTTCCACAAGAAACCCAACCCTGAGACCCCAGGCCGTCCACTGATTTTCGGCGTGGGGACGTCACGCTTTCCATCGCAGAACCATCGAAACCCAAGAAACCCAGGGCACCCTGGAGACAAGCACGGTGCTTCTTGGCATGGGCCCCCACTGTACAACACACATAAACTAAAGGGGCCCAAGGACACACAAATTAATACACACAAATAACAGGATTCCCTACATTTTCCCATATGTTCTGGGTCCTTGTCTTTCCCCCACTTCCCATATGTTCCCATATTTTCTCGGGAATCGACGATTCATTGTGTCCGTGTGTTTTTTTTCCCTCCTGGTAAACACTGCGAGCGTCCCCGAGCCCCCAGAAGCGTGCCGCGTCAAGCGCGACCTCACCGACGCTGGGGGGGCCCCCTGGGTGGCGACCGCACTGCCCCCTGGAAGCCCCTGCCGTAACACGGCGGAGGGCCCACGGGCCGAACCCGGGGCCTCTGCAACGGCCCCGCCTCTGGGAGGCCACGCGGCGCCCCTGGCGGCACCAAACGCCCGGCCCCCAGGAGAACGTCGGTGCGAAGCCGCTCCGGCAGCGACCTCTGAAACCGGAAGTTTCAAGGGGAACTGGGACACACACACACACACAAATAAGTCGACACAAAGAACCAGATTCCCCCTATTTTCCCATATTTTCTGGGATTCAGTCTTCCCTCCCACTTCCCATGGTCTCCCTATGTTCTGGGGGGTCGTCGATAAACTGCGCCTGTGTGCTTTTTTCCCCTCCTGGACCTCTTCCTGGGGCGGACGGCCTCCCACAAGGTTAAGGACCCTCCCGAGGCCGGCCGCGGCAGCGTCAGCCAGCGCCCTTCGAGGCCTGCGGCCGAGCTAGGGCTGCCGTGCCATGCCGCGCGTCGGTCTGGGCTCCGAGGTGGCCGACCGCTGCCAGGATCTTGCCGCTGCCTCACCTGCAGCCCCGCCTCGTCTGCAGACTGCCGTCCTGCCGCCAGGGAGCGGTCGTGTTCCGAGAAGCCTGGAGGTCGGAGGTGGGGGGGTGATGTCGCAGTGAAGCCGAAGCCCCCTTCCACCGGCTCGTGTTTCGTGTTCGTGTTCGTGTTCGTGTTCGTGTTCGTGTTCGTGTTCGTGTTCGTGTTCGTTGTCGTGTGTGTGTGTGTGTGCGTGTGCGTGTGCGCGTGTGCGTGTGCGTGTGCGTGTGCGTGTGCGTGTGCGTGTGCGTGTGCGTGTGCGCGTGTGCGTGTGCGTGTGCGCGTGTGCGCGTGTGCGCGTGTGCGCGTGTGCGCGTGTGCGCGTGTGCGCGTGTGCGCGTGTGCGCGTGTGCGCGTGTGCGCGTGTGCGCGTGTGCGTGTGCGTGTGCGCGTGTGCGCGTGTGCGCGTGTGCGCGTGTGCGCGTGTGCGCGTGTGCGCGTGTGCGCGTGTGCGCGTGTGCGCGTGTGCGCGTGTGCGCGTGTGCGCGTGTGCGCGTGTGCGCGTGTGCGCGTGTGCGCGTGTGCGCGTGTGCGTGTGTGCGTGTGTGTGTGTGTGTGTGTGTGTGTGTGTCTGTGTGTGTCTGTGTGTGTCTGTGTGTGTCTGTGTCTGTGTCTGTGTCTGTGTCTGTGTCTGTGTCTGTCTGTGTGTGTGTCCGTGCCGTGCCGTGCGTGCGCGGGCGAAGCGGCGTGGGCGGGCGAGTTGAGAGAGCCCGCCGCTGCTGCGCGCAGCCGGGCCAAATGAGTATCCCCACCCCGTATGTCCGGCGGTGGCCCCATGGTGTTCCGGTGGTGTCCCGGTGGTGCCCAGTGGTGTCGCGTGGTTTCCCGTGGCGTCCCGTGGGTTCAACAGTGAAATCGATAGGGAGAGTGATCGTCAGATCGATTCTGAAATCGATGGACTGGTACCTATCATGGCATCGGGAGTGAGATCGATAGCGGGGTCGATAGCGAGATAGACCTTGAAATCGATTGTGAAATCGATCATGAGATCGATGGGCGGGTACAGAGTGTGACCGATAGTGGGATCGATCTATGGATCCGAATTGATATCTGTAGTGAGACAGAAGGCGGGATCGACAGTGGTATCGATGGTGAAGTCGGCAGGTAGCGATACCGAAAGATAGAGGGAGATCGATGATGAGATCGATGATGTGATCGACAGTGGCATCGATAATGGCAGCGATAGGTAGACAAAGAGTGGCTTCCATACTGAGTTCGATCGGTAACTCAATAGTGAGATCAATAGTGATATCGATGGTGGGACCGAAAGATAGTTAGATCGATAGATCGAGAGAGGTCGATCGTGAGATCGATAGTGGGATCGACCGTGATAGCATACATCAAGAGATCGATCGTGTTGTCCCCTGGTGTCCCTGGGTGTCCTCTGGGTGTCCTGTGGTGTTGTAAAATCATAAGCTGTTCCTCTAAAGGAAAGAACGCGCGGGCAGAAACATGTCTCAATGTTCAGCTGGTTGCCCCGATACTTTTGACGGGTAGCCCGAATGCTACTGAGTTGGCCGAACAGATTGCCCTGCACGTTCGCTGCATACTCTCAAGAGAAAATGGACTGGGCGAACAAATGCCACCTAGTTCCGTAGGTTGCCCGATGGTTTCCCGCTGGATGCCCCAATAGAGAAATAGATGGACAAGCAGATTACCCTGCATGCTCGCGGGTGGACAAGCAGACTGCCTTGTATGGCGCGCAACAGGGGTCGCGCGCAAATAAATGCCAGCTCCAGCGAAGGAGATGGATTTGCTTGCCCGCGATGGCGGTGGTGACGCAATCACAAGTGTGAATGCGCAATCGTGGATGTGTCGTGCCGTTGGCGCTTACTTTGTTGCCGCCGGTTGGCCAGGCTCTGCCACCCGAGGTTGCGTAATGCACTGCTACTGCTGCGTGCTGCCCCTTTGCGATGTCCCGCTTATCACCAGCATCGTCGCCATCACGCATCGTCGCCATCACGCATCGTCGCCAACTCGTAAGCGCATCACCAGCATCGTCACCATCACGATCATCGCAGTTGTCGTCAGCTGCTCCCCCCAGCAAGCTCCTTATCACCCGCAGGGTGGTCGTATAGGTACCCCGGGGCGCGCCCAGTGGTGTACAGTTGTCCCCACACTGCGCTTGCACTAAAGGGTCCTACATGGCTTCGAAGGAGCTGGCCCTGGACACTGGTGCTTCGGTTCGTTGCCGCCCGTGGACGCCGAGTTGCCGCCCCGGGCAGGCCCGAGACTCGGATTGTCGGCTCGAGGGCGCCCGCTGCCGCCCCGAGGTCGCCCCGCTGCGCTGCCCGGGCTTGGATTGCAATGCTCTGCCTCGTGTTACGTTGCTCTTCGTTGCTCTGCGTCGCTTTGCGCCGTGGGTGGTGGCAGGTGCGGTTCTTTGCACTGCGTTGCACTGCTATGCCTTGATGTGCGTTGCGTGCGTGTGCGCTGCGTTGAATTGCGCAGCACTGCTTTGCATCGTGTCGTATAGCTTCGCGCTGCGTCATATAGCGCGCGCTGCTCTGCATTTGTATAGCGATGCCGCGATATGCGGTGTGCACACTGCGCAGCATTACCCTGCGTGACGTTGCTTTGCACTGCCTCAGCTCCTTGCATCCCTTTATCGCTTTACAAATACTTGCTTGGCTTCCCGCCCCACCGCAAAGATTGCACCAGCTCATGGTTTGGGTCTATGCTGGGATCACTCCTTGTGTCCCCCATTCCAACCCAACAGTACGCGTTGACGATCCGCATGTGCTCAAACATGTACGCACGAAACCACCTCACGGCTTCTTGGCCACGGGCTGTAGTGTGAACGAACGGTTCGCAAGAGCAAGGCGATGCGGTCAACGATTCCATGCATGTGGCTCCATGTCACAGCGACGCTAGGTACGATTCTCGGTGGAATGTGCAGCGGAGGCCCACCAAGGACCACACCCCACTGCGGAGCCCAAGTCACCCTTTCAGCCGCAGCTGAGAAGCCAACAGGAACAGAGAGGCGGAGGAGGAGGAGGAGGAGGAGGAGGAGGAGGAGGAGGAGGAGGAGGAGGAGGAGGAGGAGGAGGAGGAGGAGGAGGGGGGGAAGAGCGGGAGCGGGAGGAGGGGGAGGAGGAGAGAGGAGGAGAAGGAAGAGGGCGCGCTCTCCTTCAGTAGGCTCTCCACCATCTCCACGTCGTGGTCCCGGCTGTACGCCTGGAGGACACCGTTGAAGCAGGTCCACCAGCACCCACACTGGGTGGCGACAGGGCGAACTGCTGCCCCCATCGTGTGAGGTCTGAAAGGTCTGCTGCGACGCAACGCGTCCAGCTCGCGTCGCGGTGAAGAGAAGTCGCACCGTCTTCGGGCCAGCCAGCGGGCCCCGTTTGGCCCCCGACCGACGACGGACAAACCTTCTCCAGGGCTAACACATGACATGTCAGCACATCCACCAGAACCTAGGGGAGGAGCATGGAGAGGAGGCGTGAGGACGACGAGGGAGAAAGGAGGAGGGCGAAGGAGGGGGGAAAATTGAGAGGGGCAGAAGGGAAATGAAGGGAGGAGTAGGAGGGCGGGGGCTCTGAGAGCGAGGAGGGCAGGGGCGAGGAGGATTTTTCAAGGGAATTCTACTGACCGCCGCCACCAACCTGATGTGCGTGCGGGAGTTGGAGGGAGGAGAGCTGGAGGGGTAGAGTAGTGGAACTGCAAGCTGCATAAACATACTTTCTCGGAGGCCCGCGCGGAGTTATCGGATCGGCGCTGGATCCCCATCCCTGGCGTGCGGAGCGCGCCAGGGGCGGCGCCCGAAGCGCAGCCAGAGGGGGGCAAGAACGCCGATCCAAGAAATCTGCGCGGAGCGCCGAAAGCTTATGCTCATGCCCCACATGCACGGTTTCGACACATGGCCAATCATCTTCGAACAAGCCCTCCCTCCCCTGCCCTTCACAGGGGGGCAGTTGATCGACTACACGCAAGAGTGACCCTGGGTTAAGCGTGACCTTTGGTGCGCGGCTTGTTCGGGGACGCGGGCGGGCCAAACACAAGCGCATGAGACGCTACTGCCGCATCGCGCTCGGGGATCGGGGGGCCCCGGTGGGCCCGCACCAAAGGTCACTGCGGCGAGGGGTCACTCCTCCGTGTGCAGTCGGACCCAGGGCAGAAGAACAGCCCCCCACGCAGACGAGACCCTCCGTCGGCCAAAACGCAAAAAAGAACATCCGAGGATTGCCTCCCTGGGGCGCCCGAGAGCATCCGTCGGACACGAAGCGCAGCCGAAGGCACCCTCCCCGAGCCGACCTCGCCCTTTCGACCTCGGTCCGACTGCAGCCGAGCGGAGACGACGGTGGCTCTCCCTCGGGAGCGGCCAAGAGGGGGGTGTCCAAGAGGGGGGGGTGCAAATCATGGCCGGCGGCATGTGCGCGGCCCAGCGGGGGGGCTAGGGACGTAATGAGATAAGCAGAGGCGCCATGAGATCTGGGGACATATCATGGCCCCCGCCATCATGTCCACCCCCCCCTAGTCATCACCCCCCTCTTTGCCGCCCCCGACGTTCGTGCCGCGGGCAAGAAGCGGCCGGGGCCCGAGGATCGAGGCTTCTGGACAATCCTGTGAGGACCAGGACGAGGAGGAGGAGGAGGGGGAGGAGGAGGGGGAGAGGGGAGGAGGAGGAGGAGGAGGAGGAGGAAGGAGGAGAGGAGGAGGAGGAGGAGGAGGAGGAGGAGGAGGAGGAGGTGGAGGAGGGAGGAGGAGAGGTGGAGGAGGAGGGGGAGGAGGAGGAGGAGGAGGTGGAGAGGAGGGGAGGAGGTGGAGGAGGAGGGGGAGGAGGAGGAGGAGGAGGGGGAGGAGGAGGAGGAGGAGGAGGAGGAGGAGGAGGAGGAGGAGGAGGAGAGGAGGAGGAGGTGGAGGAGGTGGAGGAGGAGGCCCCGATCCCCCGCCGGGCCCACAGCGGCGCCCCCTGTCGGCCCCCACCCTGGGCCCGCCTGCTGGTGCGGCCCCGCGGACTCGGCGAGGAGAGGCCTCCGGGAGGCCCAGGCTGGACGGGGAGGGCCGCCGCCGCTGCGGAGGGCCCCCCTCCGAAGCCGGGCCTCGGGGCCCAGGGACACGCAGAGAAGCACACGCGAATCCCATGATGCGAGATGATATCCTTCGACAGTCTCTGTCAAGTTCTTCTTCCCCCCCCCCCCACTTTCCACGTTGCCCCATATATGTTCTCCGGGGCATCGGCGGCCATTGGTGTCCGTGCGTGTGTATGTCTTTGTCCCTCCTGACTTGGGCACCCGCTGTACAGGCGGCCCGGATTAGCAGGTCGACCCTGCCAGCTCAAGGGTACCCTTGTGTCCTGTGTCTCGCGACCACTGCTTCCTGCGTTCCTATGGCAACGTGGCCCTCAGAAGGGTCCTGTGTCCTCTCGCGTGCCCTGTCCAGTCAAGGCCGACTGCAACACGGATCGGGGCTCCGTGGCTCTGGCGCGCGGGCGACCGATCCACGCAGCCGGGGAGGGCGCCCGCCGAGACGCGAGGCCGGCGCCGCCCGACCTGGGCGAGCCGCGGGGCGCGTGGCCTCCAGGGAGGTGGAGCCCGTCACAGCTCCACGCGCTCCACAGGGCAGTTTTTAATACACAGGATTTTCAAAATATTGGATGTTTAATACATGAGTAAGCTATGGATAAACTTATGCATGAACTCCTCGTTGTTTTTAACGCTAAATCCATGCTTTTTTGAATGCAGGATCCGCACGCGGAGCATGTATTGAAAACGGCACTGTACAATCGGCCTGGATTGGACAGGGACGCGAGAGTACACACAGGGACGCGAGAGTACACAAGACCCTTCCGAGGGCCACCATGCCATAGGAACGGAGGAAGCAGTGGGCGCGAGACACAGGACACAAGGCTACCCTTGATCCGGCAGGGTCGACCTGCTGATCTGGGCCGCCCGTGAGCCCTGACATCCGCCGATCTCAGTGTTCCAGAGGTCCCAAGAGGTCCCGGCGCCCCAGCGGGCCCAGGCGGCCAGGGCGAGCGGGCGGCCTGCCGCGGCGCCCGCCCTGCATGCATCGCGAGGGGGGGTCGCGAGCGACGGCGCGATCCCCGGACAGATCGCAAGGGAATCCTCAGCGGGGGCGCAACCCCTGAGTGTCGAGGGCGCGCGCCCTGCGTGCATCGCGAGGAAGTCGCGGAGCGATGGCGCGACGCCCTGGACAAATCGCGAGGACACCCTCAGCGAGGGCGTGACCCCCGGGTGTCGAGGGCGCGTCGCTGCTGCAGCCCGCGGCCCCGGGAGGCACCCGGCGCCCTCCCCGCGCGCGCGCGCACGCACGCACGCACGCACGTACGCACGCACGCACGCACGCACGCAACGCACGCGCGCGCGCGCACGCGCGCACGCGCACGCGCACGCGCACGCGCGCACGCGCACGCGCACGCTCACGCGCACGCGCACGCGCACGCTCACGCGCACGCGCACGCGCACGCGCACGCGCACGCGCAGGTGCACGCGCACGCGCGCGCACGCGCACGCACGCACGCACGCACGCACGCACGCACGCACACACGCACACACCCGCACACACGCACACGCACACGAGCACGCGCACGCGCGCGGGCGCGCGCGCACGCGCACGCGCACGCGCACGCGGCACGCGCACAGCTCACGCGAACACGCCCGCGCACGCGCACACGGCACACGCGCACACGCGCACACGCGGCACACGCGCCACGCCCTACACGCGCACACGCGCACCACGCGCACACGCGCGAACACGCGGGCGCACACGCGGCCGCACACGCGCACACCCGCAACACGCACACACGCCCACACGCCCACACGCCCACACGCCCACACGCCCACACGCCCACACGCCCACACGCCCACACGCCCACACGCCCACACGCCCACACGCCCACACGCCCACACGCACACGCACACGCACACGCACACGCACACGCACACGCACACGCACACGCACACGCACACGCACACGCACACGCACACGCACACGCACACGCACACGCACACGCACACGCACACGCACACGCACACGCACACGCACACGCACACGCACGCGCACGCGCACGCGCACGCGCACGCCACCGCACCGCACCGCACCGCACCGCACCGCACCGCACCGACGCACGCACGAACGCACGCACGCACGCACGCACGCACACACACACACACGGGGTTCTTTCCGCATGGGGTTCCACGTACATTGGGTTCCACGCGCATGGGGTTCGACACACATGGTGCTCCAGATTCATGGTTGTCTCTTTTGTTGCACGAGCGCGCTGGGCCCGCGCGTTGGCATCATGTTTTGGTTCCTCAGTACTTGCATCTCTACGGGCTCATTTCTGTCCCATCCTCTTGTGCTATTACAGTGGCAGGGTATTCATCCTCACCTTACCGCTTCGCCGCCGCATCTCGTCAGTCGTTAGCACAATGTGCGCAGTCCTTTTTTCCCATGTGTTGGTTTCTTGTTTCTTGCGCCTGTGCTCGTCATTGGACTTGCCTCAGCAGCTATACCCTTCAAGTCATGCCTCCCACTGGTCAATTACTCGCTGCATTGACTTCTCAGTCGTTGCAGGTTGGCAGATTGGGAAGTGTTCCAGCGTGGAGACGTTGCCCGCTGAAGAGATCGAGCATAGTTCCGGTTTCCTGATTCGTATGGCCTAGACCAGGTTCCGAACTCGCAACATGGATCGAGCGGGCGCGTTATGACCTCTCTCCGTTTGGACGTTTCACCGAGGGAGGGTCTGTGTGCCAGGCTTGAGCGCGACCGCTTCGTGAGCAAGGCAGAGACGCTGCAGAAGCAGGTCAACCAGGATAGGGTTGAGAGTGTCTGTGTGTGTGCTTGTGTGTGCGCGAGTGTGTGAGTCTGTTTGTGTGTATGTGCACGTGTGGTTTTATTGAGCGGCAGGTGTTAGTTTTGACCTTACTGGGTACTTCCAGTGTTCCCGTATATCGTGTGGAAAGGAATCCGAGAAAAGATCTCATGTTCTTCTTTGTCTGGTTGTTTCATCCGTCTGCTCACGTCCAAACCCAATTACTCAACCACGTAATCCCGATGACCAGGCGCACCGAAAATCCAGATAACGCTTCAGGGCCATCGTTGCTTGCGACATCTGGCGGTGTACCGCTGCAGGATCCCCAGGATATCCGACAAGCGTATAAGACATCCAAAGCAGTCCACATCAAAATCGTTATTGGCGAGGATCGGCGGCAATGAGTTGTCCAGACGAGCTCAGGAGGCCCTATGACCAAACTTGATTTCCAAGGTTTGAGGTCGACATTTACTAGGAATCCTGACACCTTGAACCTCAGCAAGGACGTCACACAGAGGCGCTCGATAGAATATTGGCGTCAACTAAGTCTCAGGCGCATGTTGTCGAGATCTAGCGCCCGTCCGCACGGGCGTAAACAGCACAGAACGAGCATGATTTCATCTGCCATACTTTCACTACGAGGAGAGAGATTGTTGATTATGTCCGCTGCTTCCCTCTCCCCCCCTCACCAGAGCCCCCTGCACTCCCCCACATCACCACCCCCTTGAGTGCTCTCAGACCACTGAGACCCTCCTGATTCCTTGAAGCCTCCCCCCTCCCCCCTTCTCCCTCCGCGTGGTGGCCTTTCGTTTCTCACGGTTCGCTGTTCGAGACAACCGCTAAAAGTTTTAGGTTTGCGCAGTTTCGTTTTCATTCGGCGATGAATCAAAGGAATCCTCAATTTTCCCGTATCATTAGTTCCTCTTCGTAGTTCCATTGTCAATACTACTACCACCACCACCACCTCTACTACCACTACTACTACCACTGCTACTACTACTACTACTACTACTACTACTACTACTACGACTACTACTACTACTACTGCTACTACTACTACTACTACTACTACTACTACTACTACTACTGCTACTGCTACTGCTACTATCACTACTACTACTGCTACTATTACTACCACTACTACTACTATTACTACTCCTACCACTACTACTACTACTACGACTACTACTACTACTACCACCACCACGACGACGACGACGACTACTACTATTACTACTCTTACGACCTACTACTACTGCTACTATTACGAGTACTACCACCATTATTCCTATCCCGACTTCTAATATGATGGATATTGGTACTAGTATTCTTTTTACCACTACTACTACGACTAGTACTACGACTACCGCTACTACTACTACTACGACGACGACGACGGCTATGTTTTGTTTACTATTATTACTACTGCTACTACTACCACTACTACGACGACGACTACTACTACTACTACTACTACTACTACTATTACTATTACTATTACTACTACTACTACTACTACTACTACTACTACTACTACTACTACTACTATTATTTCTACTACTACTACTACTACTACTACTACTACTACGACGACTACTACTACTACTACTACTATAACTAGTACTACTACCCCTACGTCTACAACGACTGCAACTTCTAAATTCTACGACCATTATTAGGATGAACAGTCGTACGACGGCTAATACTAGTACGGCCAGTACGGCTACCCATGTCATTGCTAGTGTTGCGATACTGCATTTGCGATCGCTGCTACTACTATTACTGACACGACCTTTTTTCTACCACCCAATTTCAGCATTCCTACTACTACTACTACTACTACGACTACGACGGCTATTGTTACTGCTACTACTGCTACTGCTACTGCTACTGCTGTTGCTGCTGTTGCTAGTGCCACCGCTACGACGACTACTGATTCTACAATCTGTGCCACGACTACGATGGCGACACCGATGATTTCTATTACTACGGCTACTGCTACTACTCTTATTGGTCTTACGGCTACTACTACCACTGCTACTACTACTACTACTACTACTACTACTACTACTACTACTACTACTACTACTAGTACTACTACTACTACTACTACTACTACTACTACTACTACTACTACTACTACTACTACGTACTACTACTTACTACTTACTACGTACTACCTACTACTTACTACTTACTACT